TTGAACCAGATTAACAGCCCCCATCAGGGAACTCATATTCTGTGAAGTCTACCAGGCTGACCTTGTTACAATCATTACATCCCTCTCCCTCTAAGTCTGAGGACATAGGCCTGTTCTGTCTTTTGTAGCCCCTCCTGGGGTGTTTTAGCACTGGGTCAGGTTCCTCCAACTCTGCCTTTGATCCGAGTGGATTGTAACACACAGGAGCTCACCTCTTGCACCCAGAGCATCTCGGAAGAAGTTCATTGTCTTCTTCAGGTGGCAAAGGAATCGAGATAGCAACATCCACCGTGTCCATCTCAGATTCCAACATTTGATGGAGATGGAGAACCCATGGGTTCTGTGGAACAGTCTGAAAGACATCCAAGGATCCTGGCACATTTTGCTACCCTTCATTTGCAGCTTTCATATGTTAGAGCCCACCGCTGAATTCACCCTGAAGCTATGGGCAGCACTGCCTTGTCCTCTTTAAGTAAACCTAGCAGAGGTTTGTGGTCCATTCTTATTACAAATTTACATCTGTAAAGGTACGAAAGCTTCAGCTTTGATTTTTGCACTGATGTGCATTGAGGATGGGGAAATTTGTGGAGCCTCTTCCTCCAGTGAGTTGTTTAATTGTTGCTCAATTATCCACCACCGTTCACATTCTGATGCTGCAGGGCTGCAGAGCTTAGATCTGATTGTTGGTTGTGGGATTGCTAAGTGCTGTCTAACACTTGTTTCTCATTTTGAGCAAGTAGTCCTGTTTGGTAGCTTCACCAGGTTGACACCTCACTGCATTGTGCTGCTTCTGGCATGCACTCCTACACTCTTCATTGAATCACCAGGACATGAAGTCAGTATCAAATTCCCAAGTGAAACCTTCAAAGTGTCCTTATTGCAGTTCCTTTGCCCACCATGCAATGTAGCTGAGACTCAGGATCTGTGCAAAGATTCTCTGGCATTCTGACTACTTTGAGCAGGCCAGCTCAGTTGTGACTGTCTCAGTATGGTGTGGGTGTTTGGCAGGCCAGCTCAGCCAAGCACCCCTGTGTCTGCCATCTTGTCCTGCCATCTTATCTTCAGTAGGTTCCAAGTGTAGCTCAGATAAAAGTAGCTGGCACTGATATGCAATCCAAGTCTCGTATTTGTGGAGCAGAGTGGGTGTAAGGGTTCATCTACCCAGCCCACTTAGAGGTGGGATCATGTCAGATAGATGACTCAACATGCAATTTTCAGTAATTCCCCAACCTCCCACCTCCATGGTGCTGATAAGCTTCTGTCCTTTCCATCCTCATAGCTTACTCTCTATCCTGCCTTTGTATCATGACCAAACAGTGTTGCGCTGCTCGCAGCCTCTTTGACTTATTAAATAAAATAGATTGTAAATAATTGAGGCATTGTGGTGCCTCACAGATTACAGCCTGCCAACTTACAACTGCCCCATTTATCCTCATTCTCTGTTTCCTGTCCTTCAGCCAGTCCTCTATCCACACTATTATCCCAAGTCCATGACCTTTTATTTCAGAAAACAACTCTTTGCAAGCCTTTTAATGGGGAGGCCACTGCTGTCATGGAGGCCACAACCCTAGAGTAATGTTCTGTGGGTGTGAGTTCAAATTCCACTGTGGCAAATGGTGGAACTTGAACCTAGTAAAGGTCTGGAATTGAAAAGCTAGTCTATTGATTGTTGTTTACAAACCTAATTAGTTCACTAATGGCCTTTAAATCATAGAATCTGTACAGGGCAGAAAGAGGCCATTCAGTCCATAGAGTCTGCACTGATCCTCTGTAGAGCATCCCACCCATACCGTATCCTCGAAACCCAATATTTGCCATGGCTCACCCATCTAGCCTGAAGATTCCTGGACATTATGAGGCAACTTAGCATGGCCAATCCATTTAACCTGCACATCGTTATAAAAGGAAGCTGTTGCCCTGACCTTATGTGGTCTATGTTGGAGATCATAGCAATATGGTTGGCTTTTGGGCAATAAATGCTATCCTTGCTAGCAATGCCCACATCTCATGAATGAATTTTTAAATATCTGAAAAACTCCATCTTAATATTTTCAAGAAAATAGTTAAATAGGAGCTGATACAATGCAGGTCACCTTGACTGGGCCCTGGAATAAGTGGGTAATGAGTAAATTGGGGCTCTATTCTCTGCTGTCTAGTAGACGAAGAGGTGATCTCATTGAATACACATGTTTCTGAAGGGGCGTGACACAGTAAATGCTGAGAGGCTGTTTCAGGAAATCTAACTCACAGGGCCATTGACTCAGGATACAGGGCTGAATGTTTAGGATTAACATGGGGAGTTGTCAATCTATGGAATTCACATAGATTAAAACAAGTCTACAGCACAGAAGAAGGCCATTTGGCCCATCATATCCATGCCAGCCAACAAAGATCTGATTACATTAATCCTATCTTCCAGCTCTTGGTGCATAGCCCTGGAGGCTATGACAAGTCAAGTGAAATCTTCAATGTTACAAGAGTTTCTGATCAACCATCCGTTTAGGCAATGAGTTCCAGAAGCTCATCACCCTCTCAGTGAAAACATTTTCTCTTAATTCTCCATTTACTGTCCTAGCCCTTACCTTCAATCTCTGCCTCCTGGTTATTGACCCCTGTACTGATGGAAATAGTGTACCATTCACCTTATCTATGCTTGCTGTAATAATATCCATCTCCATCAAGACCCCTTCAATCTTCACTTCTTCAAGGAAAACAAGCCCAACTTATCCATTAAAAGCAAAATATGGCAGATGCTGGAAATCAGACCAAAGTGTTAACTCAGTTTCACTCTACACAGATGGTGCCAGAACTGCCGAGTTTCTCCAGCAATCTGTGTTGACCCAGCCTTTCCAATCTTTCCTCATAGCTCACATCCTCCAGCCAAGTTAACACCCTGGAGAATCTCCTCTGCCCTCTCTCTACTGCAAGTTTTTTTTTCCCTTTATTCATTCACGGGATGAGGGCCTCGCTGACCAGGCAGCATTTATTGCCCGTCCCTAATTGCCCAGAGGGCAGTTTAGAGTCAACCACATTGTTGTGGGCCTGGAGTCACATGTAGGCCAGACCAGGTAAGGATGGCAGTTTCCTTCCCTAAAGGACATTAATGATCTGGATGGGTTTTTCCCGACAATCGACAATGGATTCACGGTCATCATTAGATTCTTAATTCCAGATATTTTTATTGAATTCAAATTCCACCATCTGCCATGGCAGGATTCAAACCTGGGTCGCCAGAACATTATCCAGGTCACTGGATTAGCAATCCAGCAATAATACCACTAGACCATTCATATGCCTTCTAGCCACTTTATCTACCTACTCTCTGCTACCTTCAGAGAAATGTGAATGTGTACAGCAAGGTGCCTCTCAATTTCAGCCTTTCTACTATGCTACCATTCATTGTGTAATCCCATCCCCTGTTAGCCCTCTGCAAGTGTACTCACACTTTTTCTGGATAGAATTCCATTTGCCACTGCTCTGCCCAGCTGACCATTCTGCAGTTTACAGCTACTCTCCTCACTATGTACCACCAACATTGCCTCAAATGTTTCCTGCCAGTGTGGGGACCTCCAGGGTCCATAGGGCAGCAGGTCCCAGAGGTGGGAGCAATGAGTCGGCATGGTGAGTGGGGTGCACAACATTTCCCAGCAACCATGCAGCTTAGAGTGTATGTCCTTCATTACCCAACCAATCTTCATGTCACCCATGAGCTTCTTGGTCACAGTAACACCACAAGTAGACAGTAGGGTGGCTAGGGGAGCTTGATGGTCCAGTGGCATCATCACTAGCCTATTAATGCAGCAACCCAGATAAGGTTCTGGGGACCTTGGTTCAAATCCCACCACAGCAGACAGTGTTTTTTTAACAAAAAGTCTAGAAATTAAGAGTCTAATGATGACCATGAATTCATTGTCAATTATCAGAGAAAAACCCATCTGGTTCATTAATGTCCTTTAGGGAAGGAAACTGCTTTCCTTACCTGGTCTGACCTACCTGTGACTCCAAACCCACGGCAGTGGGAGGGATGCTGTTCAGAAGGTTGGTACAGACTCGATGGGGTGAATAGCCTCTTTCTGCACTGTAGGGATTCTATGATTTGAAGGACATTGGTGAACCAATCAAGTTTTTAAACACCAATTAATAGACTACCTTTTCAATTCCAGACTCTTAACTCCCCTCTGGCCAATAAGGGATGGACAATACGTGCTGGCCCAGCTAGCAACACCCTCATTTTGTGAATGAATTTTTAAAAAGCATTTTATTTAAAGAAAAGGATTCAAAGGGACTCTTTGGCATGTCTTTGTTAATTGAGGCTTGGGAAGCAGATGCAGAGTGACTTAGCACAGACAGCTCAATCTGACAAATTCCCGAGGGTTAATGATATTCAAAACAGAGTTCTGATAAAGAAGTGGAGACATCCTCAGAGACTTGCAGACAACAAATGTGCAGCTGTTCATCAAACAATAGTACTACCCAGAAATTGTAAGCAGATTATCATGAGTAGCCCATGAAGTTCCTATGGCAGGACATACAGAAACTCAGGCATTGACAAACATGGTATTTTACATGAGCCAAGATATAGAGACATAGTGAAATTCTGTAAAACATTTGATACACATCATGTGTCTGTAAACCTCACAGTGTAATCAGTCCAGTTTCTTTCATATCCAGATCAGTTTTTGAGGAACTATTCAGATGAGTGTCTGTAGATTGTGTAGGCCCTTTAGACAAAAACAAAAGCAAAGCATCTGTTTATCCTTAAAATTCTAGATATAGCAACCCAATTTCCAAAAGACCAATAAGACTAGAACATGTAAATGCAAATGTAGGCAGTTCAGCCTCTCCTTCCATCCTATTTGGTGACCTGAGATCTCTTGGGTTTGTTCCTCACCATCTTGCTGTCAGGTTTTTGGTCTCCTGAAGTGCCTTGATGTTTGATTTATTGCTTACTTACTATTTCGAACAATATCATTCATTTTTCACCATTTTGTGTTTTGCAGTTTCTAATCGTCTCGCCAATAAGCCACCACCTATGCCCGGTCCCTCAGCACCCAATCTGCCCCCTCGGCCTCCGATCAGCAAACCTCCTGAGATCATGTAAGTAACGTGGCACAAGAGGCCAGTAAGGATCTACCTGATACATTGGCTTTCAGTAGTGACCAATTAACATTCATTATTCTCTGGTGACTGTCAGACATCTGTGTAGATGCTGCATGTTGTTATAGCTCTGTCCCTCAAGCATTGAGCTGTGTGCTACATACATCATCAGTTATGGAGGGAGATTGTTATCCTTAGAGCAGAAGAGACTGAACGGACATGATTGAGATTTATAAAATTATGACGGTCAAAAATAGGATAGAAGGAAGGACCTTTACCTCTGGGTGGAGGGAACAGTGACCAGGGCCATAGATTTAAGGTAAGGGGCAGGAGGTTTAGAGAAAGCAAAGGAAAACCTTTTTCATCCAGAGGGTGGTGGGAGTCTGGAACTTGCTGCCTTTTAAGGATGGGGGAGACAGAAGCTATCATCAGACTGAAGAAGTATGGTGGCTCAGTGGTCAGCAATACTGCCTCACAGCGTCGGGGACCTGGGTTCAATCCCAGCCTTGGGTGTCTGTCTGTGTGGAGTTTGCATATTCTCTCTGTGTCTGCGTGGGTTTCCTTCCATAGTCCAAAGATGTATATGCTGGGTGGATTTGCCATGCTAAATGCAGTGTAATGGGTGGGATGCTCTTCGGAGGGTTGGTGTAGACCCAATGGCCTGCTTCTGCACTGTAGGGATTTGAAGTATTTAGATGTGTACTTGTGATGCCAAGGATGTTGGCTAAGTGCTGGAAAATGGAATTAGCATTGATAGGTGGTTGCTTTTGACTGATGTGGATGAGATAGGTTGAAGGGCCTTTTTCTGTGTTTATGGATCCCTAGGATTCTATCCCTCCACGTGCACACATACTGTCTCATGCACTCTCTCATACATGTACACACATTCTCTCATACGCACAGTCTGTCATACACAATCTCGATCTCACACAGACTCTCATACATATACTGTCTCACAAACACCCACATTCTCACACACACACACACACACACACACACATTAAAAGGGAAAAAAATATAGTGACAAATCCCTGGGAACTGATGATTTATACCCTGGATTGTCAAAGGAGATCTTCAAGATGCTATAGGTTCTGCAATGGTAATCACAGATTGGAAGGTGCAAATGGAACCCACTATTTAAGAAAGAAAGGAGGAAGTTAACAACAGACTAGTTAACTTGTCATCAGTGGTAGCGAAAATACGAGAGATATTTTCTAACCAACATGTTCAGTGATGTTATATGACACCTGTAGAGCAGGTGGGACTTTAACCTGGGTCTCCTAGCTCAGCAGTAGGGACACTACCACTGTGCCACAAGAGACCCTCTAGCATCGATCCTAAAGAATATGATAACTGAACATTTGGAAAATAATCATCTGTTTGGGCAGAGTCAACACTGAATTATGAAGGGAAATTCATGTTTGATAAACTTGGTAAAAATTTTTGAAGACATTATTTGTAGAGTAGATAAAGGTTAACTAGTGGTTGTGATGTATTTGGATTTTTAGAAGGCTTTCAAAAAGATTCCCCCCAGTTTAGCCAGGAAAACCAGCGCGCATGGGATAGGATGTTATAAACTCACGAAGATTGATAATTGACTAATGGATAGAAAACACAAAGAATGAATAAACAGGTCACTTGTGGTTAGTGAGCTGTGGCCGGTGGAATACCATAAGGAGCAGGGCTTAGGCCTGAGCTGTTAACAATTTGTTTGAATGATTCGAATGAGGAAGAAAATGTAATACTTCCAAGTGTGTGCTGACACAGAACTAAATGGAACTGTATGAAATGAGGACGCTGCAAGGATGGGGACTAAGGGGAACTGGACAGCTTGAGTGAGTGGGCAGCGGAATATAATGAGGATAACTGTGAGATTATCCACTCTGCCAGGGGGAGCAGACCGGCAGAGTATTCCTTAAATGGTGAAAGATTGGAAAGTGTCACTGTCCAAAAGGACCTGGGTGTCCTTGTTCATAAATCACTAATAGCTAATAAGTAGGTGTAGCAAGTTATTAGGAAGGAATGGTATGTAATTAGCCTTCATTGCAAGAGGATTTGAGTGCAGGAGTAAAATTGTCTGGCTTGAATATTGTAGCACATTGGTGAGACCTCATGTGGAGTATTTGTGGACAGTTCTGGTCCCCTTACCTACAGAAGAATCTGATTGCCATAGAGAAACTGCACCAAAGGCTCATCAGACTGATTGGCAGGATTAGTTTGGGTCTGCATTTCCTCAATTTCAAAGGGCATACGGCAATCTCATTGAAACTTACAAAATTCTTATAGAGTTCAGTAGGGTGGAAGTAGAATTGTTGGGAATGGAGATGAGTTTCAGAATAAAGAGTTGCGTTTTTGAACCTTTAAAATTCTCTGTCCCAAAGGCTCAATTATTGTGACAGGTGATTGAGCAATTTTGTGACCTCTAGTGATGGAGGGATGTATGGGAAAGTGGCATTGAAATAGATGATTTTTTTTAAAATTCACCCATCGGTTGTGGGCACTGCTGACTGGTCCAGCATTTATTGCCCCATCCCTACTTGCCCCTTGAAAAGGTGATGCTGAGCTGCCTTCTTGAACCACTGCAGTCCATGTGCTGTGGGTTGACTCACAATGCCCCTTAGGGAGGGAATTCCAGGATTTTAACCCAGCAACAGTGAAGGAATGGCGATCTGGAATCTCACTTCTGACAGCATCTTCCAAGTGCCTACCCATATCACCTAGTAGGTAGGTACATGAGAACCTCACCCTCTGGAAGTTCCCCTCCAAACCACATGCCATCCTGACTTCGAAGTCTGGGCAGGATTTTTCAGATGGAGGGGCTTTCCAACCAACCACCCAAAGACTCGGTTGCATGTGAACACATCTTTCTGATCACAGCAACCCGCAGTTGTTTAATATTCTGAGGACTGTTAGTTGGCTGAAGTTGGAACTTTGTCCCCCTCACTTGGGTAATCTGATCTTACAATGTCATACCTCAATGTCCACTTTCCTTTCATTCATTCAGGGGAATGGGATCCTCGCTCACTGGTCCAGCATTTGACATCTATTCCTGATTGCCCTTAAGAAGATGATGGTGAACTGCCTTCTTAAACCTTTTTAACATGAACCAAGGGGCTTTATATCCAGGTAGAAATGCTGATTGGCTACATTTTAGAGCCCAGCCCTATTCTAATTTGGAATTAAATGGCCATTTTAAAGCATAATTTGCATCCTAACATTCTGAGCATCTCTGTGGGACTTGGCAGACTCACAGTTTATTCACTATCAGCAGGGGTGCTTCTGCCTTTCTTTTACAAGTGTGATCATCTTGTGACCTTCTTCCTCGAAAAACAATCTGGAGCCCCTTTCACATCTAACAATGAAACCAGCCAGGCCTACAATCAGCAAACGGCCCACATGACTCCCCTTGTTTCTGCATTTTACTGATATTAAAACATACTTCTAAAAAGATGTTTCCAAAAGCCTTGCATTATAACATCCCTATAACTAACTCATTACCTGATGTCAGTAGCAGGCTACCAGGGAATGCAGCTGGAAAAGGCCACTCAGCCTTTTTGAGGCTGTCAGTGCTGAGAAGGGCTGGGCTGGGGTTAAAGCAGCCTGGGCCAACGTGGGGGACAATTCCATGATGTTGGTAACAAAAGCAAACATTGCTGGAAAAGTTCAGCAGGTCTGGCTATGTGTATGAAGAAAAAATCTTGGTAAATGTTTTAGGTCTGGTGACCCTTCCTCAGAACTGATGGTAGCTGGGAAGTCATCAGTTTATATGCAGAAGGTAAGGTGAGGAATGGGGGAGGGAGTAAATGATAGGATAAAGGACAGAGTCCAAAGAGAGAGAAGAGCAGTTGGATAGACAAAAGATTTGATAACAATCTGGCTAGGCGGGTGAATAGCTGTTAATGGGGACTGTTAGTGGCTAACAATGAGTAGTGAGTAATACCTATTGTTTATTCCCTACCCCATCCCTCACCCAATCTTCTGCATATAAACCAACATTTTCCCAGCTACCGTCAGTTCTGAGGAAGGGTTACTGGACCCAAAACTTTCTTGTCCAATAACTTCTATTTTTGTGATAACGAGGTGTAGAGCTGGATGAACACAGCAGGCCAAGCAGTTTCAGAGGAGCAGGAAAGCTGACGTTTCAGGTCTGGAACCTTCTTCAGAACTGATGGTAGGTGGGAAAATTTCTGAAGAACGGTCTAGACCCGAAACATCAGTTTTCCTGCTCCTCTGATGCTGCTTGGCCTGCTGCGTTCATTCAACTCTACACCTTGTTATCTCAGATTCTGCAGCATCTGCAGTTCCTACTATCTCTGAAACGACTTCTATTTTTGTTCCTGATTTACAGCATCCGCAGTTCGTTCGATTTTCACCCATAATGTTGGCGCCATTCCCTCATTTTCCACTCAGGGAACCAGGAGCAGATTCCAACCCTAAGGGGGGGGGGTTGACAAGGACAGAAGGGTTAGGAAAGCTTGAAGATTTCCTCTTAAAATGACCTGCCCTCTCCTGTGGCTTAGCAAGCCACTCAGTTTTTGTGCAATAAATACCGAACCAGCAAGTAACATCCATAACCTGTGAACAAGTAATTTAAAAAATCTGCAAAATCTTGATTGATCATCAACTGGAACTTAATATCTTTACCCAGAGAACGTGAAACACAGGGAACCATTGAGGCATTTCTGGGAAGCTGGGAGTATGAACAAGGAGCAAAAGTAGGCCATTCGGCCCCTCATGGCCTTTCACCAAGACTGTAGCTGATCTGATTGTAACCTCAATACCATGTTCTCACCTATCCCTGATAGCCTTCGACTCTCTTGTTAGACAAAAATTGATCTACCACTGCCTTAAAAGCATTCAATGGCTGCTACAGCCCCGAGCCTTAGTCTCTCCAATGAGAATAAACATCTTTCAGCATCCACCCTGGCAAATCCCCTCAAGGTCTTAGGTTTCAAATAAATGAGACTGAAAGTAATGGAAGGGAAATGCTGAGAGATTTA